GAGTACATGTTCGTGGGCCGTTGCACAAGATCTGGGATAAAATCAGTTAAGAAGGACCTTAAAAGGAAGAAAGAATCTGGAGATGCAAAGAAGTTGCGTTGGGAGATGGAGTTTCCAAGAAAGTAATATGAACTAAGTTTGTCTTTTACCACTTTGAGTCTGCACTTGATCATCAACCAGAACCCATGCGCCAAAGCAATCAATGTCGTCCCAACGGAGGTGAACTATTAATTAACATCAAATAGGTGCTGGTATGTACATGTTTTGGATCAAAAAGGTTACAAAAGATTGACTAACTTCTCGAATCCGATGTATTTGCGTTAATTTAGTCCTTCCTACAACATCTACTCCAGCCTAGATTAAGAGGTGAACCTGTTAATATACACAATATCAGGGATACTGTGCCTCAATCCAAACTCAACAGTGCAATACGTACTATCCATATATTTTGATTAAATGCTTAAACAAAAATGAATTAATCTAAAGCTTCAACGAATATTTGCAAACTAAATAATTTCACCAATATAAACTTTCTTAAAAATGTGTAGTGTAACAGCTCGGCCAGTCGTTTTGAGAATTTACTCCCCAATCCCCTATTAACTGTTTCCCCGTGTCTTTTTCTGCTATTGTGATTTGCCGGGATGGTTCATTTTGAGTTTCGGAGTGTTTTGGGACACTTAGTCCTTAAATGAGAGTTTAAATCTTAGAATTTGGACCGTAGTCGGAGCAGTATGAAGACGGCTTCGGAATGAAATTTAGTCGATTCCGTTAGCTCCATTGGGTGATTTCGGGCTTAGGGGCATGTTCAAATTGTGTTTTGGAGCTCGGTAGCTCATTTAGGCTTGGAATGGCGAAGAGTTAAATTTTTGAAGTTTCGGGCCAATAGTGAAATTTTGATATCGGGATCGGAATCCGATTCCGAAAGTTGGAGTAGGTCCGTAGTGGTGAATGTGAATTGTGTGCAAAATTTGGGGTCAATCGGACATGGTTTAATTGGTTTCGTCGTCGGTTGTAGAAATTTAGAATTTCAAGTTCATTAAGTTTGGATTGGAGGGTGATTCGTAGTTTTAGCATTGATTGATGCGATAGAGGGCTCGACTAAGTTCGTATGATGTTTTAGGATTGGCTGGTATGTTTTGTTGAGGTACCGGGGGCATCGAATGAGTTTCGAGTGCTTAACAGATTTGTTTTGGACTTAGGCTTTTGGCTGAAGATTTACTGCACCTGTTGTTTTCGCACCTGCGGATTTTGGACCGCAGGTGCGGTGCCGCAAAAGCGGCTGGGCAACCGCAGAAGCGAAGTTGGACTTGTCAGCAGAAACCGCAAGTGTGGATAAGGACCGCAGAAGTGGCCTCATGCCCGCAGACGCAGCCCCAACAGTTAAGTGACTTTTCGCACCTGCGATGAGAATTTCGCAGGTGCGGGACTGTTGCTCCCAAATGCACACGCAAGTATACGTGGTCGACAAGTAATATAATGATAAGTTGAGTGTCGAACCCACAAAGACTTGTATAAACTACTCACTAAATCACTAAAATTGTTATTCAATCCAGCTAAAATCAAAGTCTAGTAATATGATTATATTATACTTCGATTCTAAATAATAACTAAATTATCAAGTAACGAGTTGATTGTTGTGTATTCAGTAGAGACAAGTATTCCAGGGTTGTGATCGATTCACCATTCGTATTGTGTTCTAAATAACTCTCCCTTTCATATAATTCACTCATGGGTTCTAATTAATCGGTAAATGCTCTCATAGCCTTCTCCCGAAGTACTACTCGGCTATTCTCAATAGATTAACGCCTATATTCCTATGAAATCAATCTATTAAGAACGCATTAAGATTACGATATTTAATTAAGCACGATGACTAGGTATATTCCTATCCTAACCACAAATCCGCTCCCCCTAAGGGTTAAGATCGTGCTCTCTTCAATTCTTTTCTAATCTAAACTAGGCTTTCCCAAGCATATCATAGATAGTAAACAGAACCTAACTGCTGGCCAGACAATTAAGCAATTAATCACAGAATAGAAGAAACAACCATATATTGGTGAATCATAATCAAGGTCAAGCTAATATCAAACAACAATATTCATGGTTAAATCACAACCCCAGAACAATGGGTGTTTAGCCACTCATGACGTAATCAAAACAATTGCATAAGTGTTGAATCAATTGGAAATACTAGAAAAAGATGAAGAAAACTGAGAATTCTCCGCTTCCTCACGATCCCATGTGTATCTTTCCTCCAAAGTGGCATCTCCCCCTTCAAAAATAGGTTTTCTCTTGCTTTTATACCTGTTGGGTAGGTCTAGGGCAGAAATAACTCCGTCCCAGGTGAATTTGGAGAAGATTCACGTCACTGGCGCCCACCAGGGCGCTGCAGAATTTTCCAACACTGTTTTCAATGCCACAGGTGGCGCCAGGCGCTGCCTGTGGCGCCCAAATGGCATTTTTCCCGGTTTTGTTCGTTTTAGCTCAAATTTTGCGCGTTTCGCCCCCAATTTCTCCCAAATCATTCCTACAAATAGAAACACTTCAAATTAATATAAATCATAGCATTTAACATCCCAAATTTACGAAACAAAAGTAAAATATGAGGTGATATACATAGAAATATATATGCTTTAAGCTAAACATCAACACCCCACACTTAGACTCTTGCTCGTCCTCGAGCAATGGGACAATCTACTACCCTTCAACTACGTACAAGTATCAATTATAGAGGAGCACTTTAAATTTTAACCACACACTGTACCCTTGACTATGATCAATACCGGCACACAAGCATGAACGCACCAAAATTCACATTCTTCCCGTTTAAGCATGCCCAAGTATAACCCTTCAATTCAATCAATTCCAACAACTTATTTGTCACCACCCAACCTCAAAAGTTGACTTGCAACCACTAAGAACCCTCAATTCATGCACTTACCCAACAAGAAAGTTTACAACATTACCAATCATTCATGAGATCATGTGCCCTCATCAACAAACAAAAGAGTGAATATAAATTAGTCCACACATTCAAATATGCTTTTAAATATAGATTAAGGACATCACACAATTAAACAAAATTCGCTCACTTTCACAAAGAGTTCATATGCATCCCGTGGTCGTACCATAAGCTTGCCCGTAGTGTATATCTCTACTAATTTAAGCTAGCCAAATCTAGGATCAATTAGGACTTTAAGGTTGTAATGTAGGCTAAGGGATGTGTATGATATATTTAGAAACAGTGGCTAACCCTCCTAAGCACTTTAATACACTACATTTACAATTCAAGCACATATTCTTCTCAACCAATTCACTTGCCACACACCATATGCAACATAGCCCTCTTTTCAATTAAGCACTTCTGTAATTTCACTAGCACAAATCAATAAGAATTGGAGGCGTCTCTGTTTTTCTACATTATTTGAACTCTCATTTTTTTCTTTCTTTCTTTTCACTCCATACATTAAGGTTCATTGGCTAGTGTCTTTTGATTTCAACTTTAGTGCACCAATGGGCCCTTCCATGATTCCACTCAAAAGCTACTCCCCAATCTCTAACCTTACTTCTTTTAGCGACTAAGTGCCTTAGGAGATAAAGGTTCAATCAATATCCAATTAAGAATAAAATAGGGGTATGGCTTGTAATGTGGGTGCCAAAAGAAAGGTCTATAGGCTCAAAGGGCTACCAAAGGAAAATTTTATTTTATGTGACAAGCACATCCATGATCAAGCAAGAAAATGCCTACATCATCTCCTAGATTAGCACAACTTACAATTTTGCTTTAATTAACACACAGGGCAAGTTCTAGACTACACAAGATAGCACAGAAAAGCACAAATCCTCACACACACGTTGCACATGACTCAATCAAGACGGTTCTGTTCAACTCTCAAGTCAAGCAAGGACACATAATTGAGAAATTTAAGCAATATTGCACTATGTGGCATACGAGACAACTGAAAAAAAGGGTGTCACAAAATAGGCTATTTACTTTACTTAGGCTTCACAATTCAAACCAAATACACGGGAAAACAGAATGTATGTCATAGCCTATTGTGCCAGCATCAACCATGTCAATGAATATCTCAGAGCGACTCAGTTTCTTCCTAAACTACTCCTAAAAAATAAATAAAGTACCCGGTTCGAACTACACCCCGGGAAAAGAACCGGCGCCCAAAGAAAAACCAAGGGATACTACCTAACTATCCTAAAAAATAAAAATAAAAATTGGTGTTTTTAATCAGACTTTATCCCTCAAAAACATTGTCTAAAAGATCCATCATCAGGAAAAAGCTGAACTTTTTCTAATTCTATTTTTTTTTTCAATTTTCGTTTTTATTTTTTATTTTTTAACCTAGACTATGTCTACTACGAGTTCTAAAAGAAAAACTAAATAAAAAAATAGTTTTATATAATTACACTTCAGAAAGTAGTTTCCCTACCCTACACTTATATTATGCATAGTCCTCGATGCATGATCATAGAGAAAAATATTAAAACAAGGGCAAGAAATACTTCCTGAGACACTCTCGGGCCTAGCTCAGACATGATCCTCAATTTTAAGGGTCGGGACGACCCCCACACTTAAGCTCAAACATGCTCATCAGCTTCAACTTTGGGTACTCAGACTTCCCCTACTCTGTAAAAATAAAAACAACACAAAAACTTGACACTAAAAAAATAATCAATACATAATATATAGGTTGGGTTTCCTCCCAACAAGCGCCTTAGTTATAGTCGTGGCAGGACTCTGCTACTCTGCTCAAGCTGGGCGCTTTCTCTTCTTCTTTCTCCCATGAAGTCTAGCCTTTTTGCATGCTCTCGGAAGGTCTCCTTTTTCATCTCTAGCTCTTTTCTCAATCATCTTTACACGCTCAGCTGGAAACACCACCTCCTCTAACTAAGTTGTCCCATCTAGAACACTATAATTCACATGCTGACTCTGCTCTATTCCCTTCAATTCGACCACAGTAATCATGCACAAGTCCTCGTAATGCTTAGAGCTTAAGTGCCTTGTACACATTAAAAGTGATCTCCTCATTGTCAACTCTCATTTTTAACTTCCCTGCCCTCACATCAATAATTGCTCCACCAGTAGCTAAGAATGGTCGCCCCAAAATAATGGGCACTTCATCATCTGCCTCGTAATCAAGAACAATAAAATCAGCAGGAAGAATAAACTTTTCCACTCGAACTAACACACCCTCAATAATTCCTTCTAGCATGACTAGTGACCTATTTGCTAACTGTAAAGTGATTGTAGTAGGTCTAATCACCCCCAATCCGAGTTGCTTGAACAAAGAGGATGGCATCAAATTTATACTAGCCCCTAAATCACATAGGGCTCTACCAACTTCTTGTTTTCCAAGAGACAAAGGAATTGTGAAACTCCCAGGATCCTTCAACTTAGGAGGAAGTTTACCTGAACTCTGGCACTGCACTCTTCAGTAAGTGCAACTGTTTCGAACTCTGCATGCCTTCGTTTGTTTGCCACAATATCTCTGAGATACCTTGCATACTTAGGCACTTCCTGCAAAATTTCAACCAAAGGAAAATTCACACTCACTTGGCTCAAAATATCTAGGAATTTCTTGTACTTAGCATTATCTTTTTGCTTCTGCAGTCTTTGTGAAAATGGAGGTGGTGGCCTAGTCTCAATTACTGGCTCAGGTCCTTTATCATCTTTCTCATTCCCCTCAACTGGCTTGGGAACTAATTCTCCTTCGGGATGAGCTATATTCTTCTTTTTCTTTGGAACTTCTTCTAATGCTCTTCCATTTCTCAAGGTAACCGCATTGACTTGATCTTTAGGATTGGGCTCTGTATCACTAGGAAGAGCCCCTACTGGTCTGGTATTTTGGGCTATGGCAAGTTGGCCCACGTGGTGCTCCAAATTTCTCAGTGTTGTGGCTTGAGCCTGCTGATCAGCCATTATTTTCTGATTGAAAGTTTGTTGATCTGCTATTAATTTCTGATTGAAAGTTTGTTGATCTGCTATTAATTTCTAATTGAGGGCTTATTGGCCGGCCATCAATTTCTTCATCATCTCCTTAAGGCTAGCTTGTTGTTTAGCCTGAGGTGGTCTGGATTGTTGTTGAGGTGCTTGAGGCCGGTATTGATTCTGATTGCTTTGATTTCCACCCCAAGAGAAGTTTGGGTGATTCCTACAGTTGGGATTGTAGGTGTCCCCATACTGATTTGTTTGGCCTCGATTTGCATTACCCACAAAATATACAGATTCTAGATTTGCTGGGCATAGATTGCTCATATGACCCTCTCCACATACTTCACAAAATATTTGAACTTGTTGCACTGGATGGGCTTGTTGCTTGTTAATGAACATGGTCATCTAATTGACTTGGTTGGTCAACGTAAAGACCTGTACTGACAATGCTGAGACAACATCTAATTCAAGAACCCCTGGTGATTTTTGTACCATGTTCCTACCCATCTCTCCTTGCCAATCCGGATTGCTTTTGGAGAATTTGTTCAATAACACATAAATTTCATCAAAGCTTTTCTCCAATACTTGACCAGCAACTGCAGCATCGACTACAATTTTTTTTTGGAGATGAAGCCTTTCTATGAAAGTATGAACTAACACTTCATTCGTCTTATTGTGATGAGGACAGTCTCTGAGTAGCCCCTTGAACCTTTCCCAAGCTGAGTATAAAGATTCTCCTGCTTTCTATTTGAAGGCAACTATCTCACTTCTAATCTTTACAGTTTTGCCTGAAGGGAAGAACCTTACCAGAAATTTTCTTGCCAAATCATTCCATGATGTAATGGAATTAGCTGGTTCTGCCTTTAGCCATCGTTTAGCTTTCCCAAACAGAGAGAATGGGAAAAGTGTGAGCCTCACATAATCTGGAGTGAACCCATTAGTGATATAAGTATCACTAATCTCCAAGAAGATCAGAATATGCTGTTGTGGATCCTTGTTTGGAAGACCTATAAATTGCCCGTTTGCATGAAGTAGCTGGATCATGCTCTGTTTCAGCTCAAAGTGCCCAGTGATTCTGGGCTTCACTATGCTGGAGGTAACATTAGCAATACTGAGCATTGCTACCTCCTAAAAACAGCCATATGTTGCTCCTCTGCCATTTTCACAGGAAATTGAATGAGTGCTTGAATATTATTTGTATCCTTGCTTCCCTCAACCTCCTGTGAAATGTTTTCTCAGGTTCGGGGTCAAAGCTGTTGAGTCTTACCTAGCTTCTAACCCTACGCATTCAATCAAAGTTTCTAAGATTAGACCAACAATCGAGTAACGTTAGACTAGATGAAATAAACAATTAAAGCAAAAACTAGAAAGTAGTTTATATTCAAGTCCCCGGCAACGGCGCCAAAAATTTGTTGCTCCCAAATGCACACGCAAGTATACGTGGTCGACAAGTAATATAATGATAAGTTGAGTGTCGAACCCATAGAGACTTGTATAAAGTACTCACTAAATTACTAAAATTGTTATTCAATCCAGCTAAAATCAAAGTCCAGTAATATGATTATATTATACTACGATTCTAAATAATAACTAAATTATCAAGTAACGAGTTGATTGTTGTGTATTCAGTAGAGACAAGTATTCCAGGGTTATGATCGATTCACCATTAATATTGTGTTCTAATTAACTCTCCATTTCATATAATTCACTCATGGTTGCTAATTAATCGATAAATGCTCTCATAGCCTTCTCCCGAAGTACTACTCCCCTATTCTCAATAGATTAACGCCTATATTCCTATGAAATCAATCTATTAAGAACGCATTAAGATTACGATATTTAATTAAGCACGATGACTAGGTATATTCCTATCCTAACCACAAATCTGCTCCCCCTAAGGGTTAAGATCGTGCTCTCTTTAATTCTTCTCTAATCTAAACACGGCTTTCCCAAGCATATCATAGATAGTAAATAGAACCTAACTGCTGGCCAGATAATTAAGCAATTAATCACAGAATAGAAGAAACAATCATATATTAGTGAATTATAATCAAGGTCAAGTTAATATCAAACAACAATATTCATAGTTAAATCACAACCCCAGAACAATGGGTGTTTAGCCACTCATGATGTAATCAAAACAATTGCATAAGTGTTGAATCAATTGGAAATACTAGAAAAAGATACAGAAAACTGTGAATTCTGTGCTTCCTCACGATCTCGTGTGTATCTTTCCTCTAATGTGGCATCTCCCCCTTCAAAAAATAGGTTTTCTCTTGCTTTATACGTGTTGGGTAGGTCTAGGGCCGAAATAACCTTGTTCCGGGCGAATTTGGAGAAGATTCACGTCACTGGAGCCCAGCCCGGTGCCTGGCGCCCACCAGGGCTCTGCAGAATTTTCCAACACTGTTTTCAAAGCCACAGGTGGCGCCTGCCCAAATGGCATTTTTCCCAGTTTTGTTCGTTTTAGCTCAAATCTTGCGTGTTTCGCCCCAATTGCTCCTGAATCATTCCTACAAGTAGCAATACTTCAAATTAATATAAATCTTAGCATTTAACATCCCAAATTCATGAAACAAAAGAAAAATATGAGCCGATATACATAAAAATATATATGTTTTAAGCTAAACATCAGGGACCGCAGATGAGGTCCGAGTATCTCAGAAGTGGTTATCGCTGGGCAGAAAAAGAGATTACAAGGTTCTGAGTTTCATAACACAAAATTTTGATTTTGAGCTCGGAAGAAGACGATTTTGTGAGGTTTTTGAAGAGAAAATCAGTGGGTAACGATTCCTAACCCTATTTCGTTTATATTTCATCAATCTATTGTTGTTTTACTCATCTAATCAAGGATTTTGAGTGGAAAAGTGGGGATTTGGGGGAATAGTTCCCCAACCGAATTTTTGGATTTTGATCAAGTTTTAAGCATCGGAATTGAATAATTTTTGGACGAGTGATCTCGTGAGTGAATGTGTGTTCATAATTTGTAACTTTTACCCGATTTCGAGACATGGACCTGGGGAGGATTTTTGGGCATTTTTCTATTTTCTTGCCTTAGCTTCGATTTCATTAGTTAAATTAGTTGTTTGTAGTTATATTTACGTTATGTAATTGATTTGATTAGATTTAGTCCACTCAGAGTTGGATTCTCGTGGCAAGAGCGTGATTTCGGATTGATTTTGAGTTTGGTTCGAGGTAAGTGGCTTGCCTTACCTTGTATGGGGGACTTCTCCTTAGGATTTTGGTATTGTTGATATATGAGCACCGTGTACATGAGGTGACGAGTGCGTGCACAGTCTACTTGTTGTAAAATTCAGTTTTTCCACTAAATTTTAATTGTTTTTTCCTTGTTGAACTACATGAGGATATGTTGTTTACCTTGTTTAGGTTAGAAAAGCATGCTTACTTGTTAATCTGCATATTTGAACTCTGTGCAACATGTTCTAATAAAATTTCCTATTTTCCGTAAATGCAAACTTGGTTTAAACTGCAAATTACTTGATATACCTGTTGGTTGTATTGACTGTGCTACATATTTACTTTGGGACTACAGATCGGTATTATGGGAGATCCCCCTGTACTGCATATTTACTTTGGGACGATGGATTGGTAGTCCGGGAGATCCCCCAGCACTGCATATTTACTTTGGGACGATGGATTGGTAGTCCGGGAGATCCCCCAGCACTTCATATTTACTTTGAGACTATGGATCGGTATTCTAGGAGATCCCCCAGCACTGCATATTTACTTTGGGACTATGGATCGCTATTCCAGGAGATCCCCCTGCATGTTTATGTTTGGGACTACGTGACGGTATCCCAGGAGATCCCCTATTGCGTACTGTGTTTTGAGCTATTGATTTTCTGTGCTTAATTCCTGTTTTAAACTTCAGTATTTACTTTTTTACAATGATATTTCTTTCTGTTAAATTTTATCATATTAAAACCTGTAGGGCCCTTACCTGATCTCGTCACTACTCGATCGAGGTTAGGCTTGGCACTTACTGGGTACCATTGTGGTGTACTCATGCCCTTTCCACAAACCTAGAAGTCCCTCTCTATTCCTCCTTCAGTTATAGACTTCCTGTATTTTTCTTCATTGTTAGATTTCTGGAGTTAGAGACACTATGTACTTTTGTAGCTTGTGATTCACGAGATTCCGGGTTTTGGGAGCGCCTATGTTCATTTCGAGAGTGTTTTATTGTATATGCCAAGCGACATTTTAAACTTCTTTATTCTATTTATCGGTTAAATTGTTAGTTTTTTGTATCTTGTTTTCTTTCCGCAAATTGTTAAACTTACTTAGTCGTAGAGACTAGGTGCCATCACGATAGTTCACAGAGGGAGAACTCGGGTCGTGACAAGTTGGTATCAGAGCTCTAGGTTCATAGGAGTCGTGAGTCACAAGCCAGTTTATTAGAGTCTCGCGGATCGCTACGGAGACGTCTGTACATTTCTTCGAGAGGCTATGTAACTGTTAGGAAAACTTCACTTTATTTGATTCTTGTCGTGCAAGGTTTTGACTTAGAAATTCTAAACTTCTGTCTTCTATTCTATCACAGATGGTGAGGACACGTGCTACCGGAGATGACCAAGCACCCGCGCCCCCTGCTAGAGTCGGCAGAGGCCGGGGCCGGGGTAGAGGTCAAGGACGTGCATATGGTGCAGCTAGAGCACCTCTATGAATTGCTGCACAGGATCCGCCAATAGCTCCATCCGGAGCCCATGCACCTGATACGCCTACTACTCTAGCTTTTCAGGAGACCCGTGCTCAGTTCATGACCATGTATAGCACTTTAGCTTAGGCAGGGTTGCTTCCTCTTGCTGCAGCCACATCTCAGGCCAGGGGAGAAGCATAGACTCCCGCCGCCCGTACTCCAGAGCAGTAGGTTCAGGTTGATCAGATCTTGGAGGTTATACCGGTACCGCCTGTAGCCCCAGTTCAGCCCGAGGATAGCGCAGCAACTTCAAAGGATGAGCAGCGGAAGC